GCAACTGAAAGTGGACTTCTATAACTATTAGAAAAAAAAACACAGTCTAATTTGAGATTTCCTCAGGAAAAAAAATGAGCTTTTGGGGTTGGATTACTAGCCAAATATCGACTGTTGCTGTTTGATCATAGAATCCTAGAATCATCTGGTTGGAAGAGACCTTCAAGATCATCGAGTCCAACCAAAGAACAAGCAGGGATAGATCCTACATCAAGTTCATGGATCAAAAGACTTGCTTTGGGAAATAAATATTAAACTTGTAACTCAAATTCCCAGAAACAGTTCAGAGTTCTATGGGGAGAGGGAACCATATTAAAATACTAAGTATATTAATAATTTTTTTGCTCTACTCTTCACTGATCACTTTTTTTTTTTTTAATTTTATGTTATTTTTACAGTGATGTTAATAAGTACTCCACAAAGATAAGCTACTCCTGTTTTCTGGGGTTCCCTGAATATTTTGATTTAAAAAAACATGCAATCTTATATGCATAATCTTTGAGAATACACCTAGGATCTAGACATTGACTTCTTCTTTCTCTTTCATCAGCATTATTAATACATACTTATTTATAAAAAATTCAGCAGAATATTCTGCTGCAATTGGGGAGGAAAGCAAACAAGAACCAATGTAGACTATCACAGCTAATTACTAATTACATAGATAATTACTATTACATCCCATAGCTAATTACTAAAAGTAACTGATAAACACAAATACAAAACACTTCCCAGAAAGCCATTCAAATGCAAAGGACTTGAAAATCTTATGATTTATGTTATGCGTGGACAGTAGTTCTGACATTCAGTCATAACGACATAGTTGTAGCAAATTTCTACACATAGAGTTTGCAATTCTTTCTTCCCAGGGAAAAAAAACAAACCAAACCAAACCAAAAAAAACACAAAGTAAAACACAGACCCTAGAGCCAATCACCTGAAAAACTAAAGATTGTTAGGAGTTGCCAAATCTGGTAGCCTGGCGGGGGTGAGGTTGCTGCAGCTCCCTCTTTTTGATTTGTGATTTAGAAGGAGTGGTGAGGCCAAGCGTGTGCTCCCAAGAGGTGTTCACACAGATGCAACACATACATGCAGTGGGTGACCCCCTGATAGAAACACTCAGCACTCAAACACAAATGGCGCAAACACCCTCGTCCTTCTCCGGCTGATCAGGAGGAAGGGCTGATTAGTTGGACATACACACACGTACTCAACATGGATCCCTCCTGTAATTTACCTCCAACATCTCCCCAGTAGCTGGCACCTGGATCCCAAGTCTCCCCAGTTGCTGGCACCTGGGCACACAAATCCAAGGCCCGCAGCTGCCCTCCAGCTGCCAGTACTGATCCACCTTTATCCACCTTTAATCCTGGACACACTCACGTATCCCCACCCACCTGAGCACACTATGGATTCTGCAGTAACGAGCCTTAGGCACTAAGTGTACCCAGTAACTGACCCTGGACCCTCCAGGCTCCCAGTTACCTTGCATGCCCACTGACACCCCTATGTATACATAGTGGGCTCTCAGCAGCTGGCTATGACACCCAGGCTATACAAGAGCTGACTCCTGGCTCCCTGGTCTCCCCTTGCCCCATGCACAGAGACTGACAGTTGCAAAAAGCCCTGTCAGTCAACCCATAGATCATACAGTCACTCCCATAGTCAGTTTGGACCTCTGGGCCCCTACAACAGTTGACTCGTGAACTTTTGGGTCTCTCTAGTCTCTGGCCCAGACTTTCAGCCACGTGAATACCTGAAGCCACTCATCCGACTCACAGGCTAATCCAGCCTGATACTCAGTAGTGATCCACACTGACATTCACACCTATGCAATATGCCCACATTCTGTACTCTCCAGTTTGTTGGCACCACAAACAAATGGGACCCTCTGACTCGTAGTCCAGCCCCAGTTGCAGGCATTTAAACCTCCAGACATACATCCATACAGGCAGAGAGTCCCTTTACTCAGGAGAATTGTTAGAAGTGGAGCATAAAAAGATACAGGACAGACTGTGCTGATCAAACACAGAGCATGACTAGACAGTAGTACTGAGTAAGAGTCTGTTTTACAAAGACCGGCCCATTTTATCCTCTTATCTCTCTATCTTTCCTTGCTTTTACCTCCCTAATCCATCTCAGTCCTCCCTTTTCCCTGCCTGTGGTTCTTCCTCTAAACATTCTAGAATAAATCTAGTACAATACCATAACACTCTTCCTTGCATCCCATAATGTGTCCCATACCCCTGTAGGCAGTAGCTCCCTCAGCATGAAGGGTGACCAGGACAGTATCTCCTGTTGACTGCTCATGATGGGTTTCATTCTCGGCCATGAGGCTTAGGCTCTCCTGGGACAACCCTGGGATGAGCCCATGCTCGAGTTTATAATTAGGGCAGGGGGGTTACTCTCAGTACAGCACCTCTGCCCTCCTTTGGGTGTGTAGGGACATCAGATAAGCTAACAAAGGCATTCTTCTGCTGAGAACACAGCTTTTTTTACTTCAAAGTTTATCATTTGGTGCTATTACATTTTAGATGTATGAATTCTAAAATCCTTTTCAAACCATTCTAAACTAAGTGCCTAAAACTTCATAATTTTAAAGTCTTCAGATAGTACGTTGTTTAATACCAAGTTTGGGCAGCACTATGCTAGAAGCACAAGACTTAAGATGAGTATTCACACTAGAGCTATGAACAGCTTGATGTCTGCATCTGATAGCTCCAAGAAGCTTTATTGATAGACATAAAAGGTTTCACAAGCATTACATCTAGTCATGAACGTGGGGACCTTTCTCTGTTTTTTTCCCTATTTCGACTCTCATATCTCTTTCTTCTAAAGGAAATTTGTGCATGTCATGATAAATTCAGAAAACTTCCAGATAAAATATAACTAAGATGGAATTGAACAATTCAAGCCTTAGGAAAAATAAGTCACAGAAACGCTTGCAAATTCAGAAGAGTGATGTTTTTAGAAAATGTGTCTTAAACCCCAGAAATTCAAAGTGAAATTTCATGGTGAAACATTCTATTCTTCAAGACTTTCCCATCATTTCCAATATTCTACTTCTTCCCATTATATCATGCCAAATTAACTGAACTGCTATTCTGGAATTATAAAAAAACAACTTACCAAATCAAAAGCTTTCTACATTTTTTTTTACTGTTTCACTATCTAATTACCTCATAAGGTATTTATTCTTTTGCATTTTAATAGACTCCAGGTATCAGAAACATTTTCATATTCTAGACACATATTAAAACCAGTTTAATTTCATAAAGTGTTATTAAATCCCTGTCAAAGCCTAAGTCTTGGGGACTGAAAATACACTCCCGTATGTTTTCTTTATAACATACAAACAGTGATACAAAAATATTGTTTTCTTTTGCGTTACAGACCTGATACTGAGAACATCCATTACGATTCTTCATTGACTGAATAACAGCTCCAGCCTAGAAGTTCTACACCATCATCAAAATAAAAAATACAGACCATTGCCTCAGAGTAACAAAATAGAAGCAGAAATGTAGACCGGCATTGTATTTCTAAGTAAAATAAGGGCAGAGAAAGCTTGAGCACTGCATCACTGATTTTTCCATGCCTCTTAATTGTTAAAACATACCTCAGAGAGGTTTTAGCCTGTGCCAGCTAGTACTCTGCCAGACTGTGCTCACACATAGCTGCGTAAGATGTGTGCCAGCAGTTATTCCCAAGACACAGTATAAACAGGATGGTATCAGATTTACCTCCCAGCACCTTATATAGTCCTCCGACATGATCCTGTCTTGCTTTGCACTCTTAGGCCTTTCTGATACTAGCTCACAAATTTATAGAATTATTTAGGTTGAGAGATACCTCTGGGGGTCATCGAGTCCAGCCTCCTAATTGAAGGAGGCCTAACCTCAAAGCTAGCAGAGATGCCACAAACACACTTCTCTCAGTAATGAAGCAAGCGTATACCTTCAAGGTCCACAGAAATTAACGTACACAAGTAAAGACACTTAACTGTAAAAACATTACAATTAAAACCACACTTATTTCACTTCAGCACATTTAAAAAATCATTATTCTTCCCTACAGTTAAACATAGCGATCACTGTATTTCATTCTTTCTCCTTAGTATTAAAGCTTTGATATAAATAAGGAAAAACAGCTACGAAATTCAGATGAAAAAAATACGTTCTTGAATTATATTTCCTCATTATCAAGGACTATAAATGCATGCTAAAAATATACCATTATAGTAATATTTAAGATAATACTCTTCAGAAAATCCAAAACTAGTAACAACTTCTACCCCCAAAAGAGATTTCTTTTCACTTTAAAGAAACCAATTTGGATTTATTATACATAGCTTCCACTTTGCGGGAAAAAAGGAAAGGGCGATGCATATACATTAAGCATAAATATTTGAGCTTATTCTGCTTCTTGAATCATAGAAAAATTTTTCAATGAAATGGCAATACTGTAGTTTTGTAAACACAAAAGCGATATTAATTTTTCAGGGTATATGTGTTGAAGCACACGTCCAATAGTCCTCCCAAGCCTGTCCTTCAGGCAAAATGAAGCATTTAAAATCATAATGCATTAAGCATACTTGAGTCACTTCCTAAACAGAGGTTTGAAAAGATGAAAAATGCTATTCCTGTTTGGCTGTAATGGCTCGCATCATGGCACGATGAAGAATTAATTCTGTATACATTAAACTCATTTTAGTACACAGCAAAACATAGCAGCTCCTAAATTTCATAGCGTTAAGGCAAGAAGTAGGATATAACAGGAATTAAAAATAATAATAAAAAAAAATCCCACCCACTTTCATTTCGTACATTGGATTTTAGCTATCACACGGGCAGAAATATAAAATATTCACCTGTTTTAGGTGTTAAGGCAAGAAGTAGGATATAATAGGAATTAAAAATAACTAAAAAAAAAATCCCACCCAGTTGCATTTTGTACATTGGATTTTAGCTATCACACTGGCAGAAATATAAAATATTCACCTGTTTTAGGGTCAACAGAGAAATATGGCTGTCCCTGAAGAATACTGTACACTACTCTGGCACTGTTTCCATATGTAGGGTCATCTGCATCTGTGGCTGTCACCTGTAGAACAGATGTACCTGTATATAGAGGAAAATAAAAGCTAATTGATAAAAAATACAATTTTCTGAGAAAGATAAATATTTTTAGATGCATTTTTGAAACCTCTACAGTCCTCACATTCTACAATTGTGAGATTAATAACATTTTCTCTATGTTATTATCCTATCATATTTTTAAGGACAATTATTTACACTAATTTGAAAATATCTTTTTCTGTTTCTCTTTCCACATGTGTATGTAACTTAATTACTGATACATAAACAGTAACTACATAGCATGCATATTTATGCATGTTCACATATATAGACCCCAAACTTGGGTACTGCTTAGACTTCTAAACAGCTCATATTTATGGACTTTAGGATTGTCTCCATCCACAATACATATTAATGTTGAAGTGCATATTTAAAATAATTTGCATAAACACTCCAAATCAATAAACGATACTAAGGGAATCAAAAAATCTAGCTATTGGATTTGAAAGATCTGAAAATAAAATAGCTACTAGAACCTTGTTGGAATTCCAATGATGGATTCAAATTAGAAAGATGAGTTCAGAAGATAAATATTTGTATAATGTCAAGAAATATTGTTAGAAAAATAAAATCTGTTTTTAACATATCACTAAGTGCAATAACTTACGAGCAACACTTTGTAGAAAATAAAATGCTAAGTGCTACACAGAGAGAACAGAGACAAGTGATTTTACATTTTATTGTATTTTTCAAGACATTTAATGATGAATCTTTTTTGATATGACTGCCCAACACTTCACATAAGAAATCAGTAAATGAAAAATTGGCAAGTTAATAAAGGTTCAGTCTTCATCCCACTTGTTTCTCCTTCTACAGACACTGCTTTCTACAGACTGCTTTGGCCCAGTATTAAAATACAGAAAAAATAATAACAGAACAGGCAACTGTCATGTAATTCTGCATCTGAAAGTTGTTTCTCAGTTAAATTAACCACTGAGTCATCACCTTCACTCTGGGGTGTTCGATTTCACATCTTAGTTGTGAGGCAAAGTATGCTTTTGAATTTAATCCCTTGATCTCTCCCACCTGTTGTACTTTGATTTGCCTCATAGAACAGTTTCAGATCATGCTGACTAGATTCCTTCAGATGAAACTCAACCAGAAGTTATACTTTAGCAGCACATCTGATTTATTCTGGCTGCTAATGGGCATTTAGTCTCAGACAACAGACAAGAGCACGTCTGAAATAAAACTTCCCAAAAACAGAAGGTGTGAAGATCAGATCCTCAGTTCCACTTGTTTAACTTCGTAGAACAGTTTCCATTGAACAGAACTGTTTGTTAATGTGCACACCCTCAGTGTACCCTGGGAATAGAAATACGAAAATCAAGGGAGTCTCACTTTGAGTACAGCAAAGCAAGCATGCAAATCTTTGCAGATTTGGATTCTTCACTGTTTGAGAAACTGTTAATTCATTTGTGCCACACTAACTCAGGCATTGAAAGTTGCTTTTTTTATTTCTATTGGAGATTTAGTAACAGGTACAGCAAACACGCCTGCATACTTAAACATCATATCTTCTGGTCTCTGAGTAGTCCGAATACGATCTCGAAGATAAATATATTCACACACAGATTTAAGGATACCTTGATGAATTTGAAGTTGAATATTGTAATAAAATAAAGCTGAAACTAGTAGTTTTTTCATAGCTATTCAGGAGTTAATGGTAAAACTGACTAAATTACTGTATTTGAGTTTATGTGGTGAAGTAAACAAATAGGAATTAATGTTAGAGTAATTTTCTTAAAATGTTCTAGGAATCTATTCAGTCATATTTGTTTGCTATCTAAACTTAGAAAAAGACTTCCTGCAAACAACAGCAGGTCACTTCAAAGAAGAGAAAATGTATTTTTCCCCTATTGTATAGCTTATCTATATACCATAATGATATATTTCTATAGCCTAGTTTGGCAATAATTTCTAACTTGAGGTGGAAAAGCTGTGACCTTTCTGTCTTCTAGTTAAGCTTTTTACATTCAAGGGTGAAGGTTTGTCCACACTAATTTCTTGCTTTCCCTTTTATATTGGAATCTTGTGGAATTCTTAAAGATTATTAAGTTACTGATACACAGTGATTTTATTATTATTATTTTTTTAATTACATACAACAAAAACATACACATCCAATAGGTACAGTCAGTCACCTACCAGAGTTTGCTACTCAGATTGCTGGGCAACTTCTCTTATCTATAGATTTTCCTGCTTCCAGGAAAACAGTTACGAACAGTTGCCTACTCATCTAACAGGATCAGTTCCCGTTTGCACTTTCTCCCAGAGTTCTAGAAAATTAAGGTAGGTTTTGGAATGGATTGACAGATTTTGGCTATTTCAGAAGAAGAAAATAGCAGAAATACTGAGATTTCATGCTTCTCTCATTGTTCAGAGACTTTCTTTTCTCCTCTTCTTAGTTTAAAAGGTAGGGGATAGTATCTAAGTGCTTGTCTTGCTCATTGATGGGGGACAAAGAGACAGGGCTAGTGGCTGTCTCACATAAGCAGCTGACAGGTCATTTTAGCATGAATGGAATGCTATTATACCTTAAAATCCGCCACAGTGATTTTCTAATACATCTGTATCTCTCTCCTAAGAAACACCTGATAATAGCAATTTGCTATTGAATAGTGGCAAAGTCTTCTCTTTCCATCTAAAAGAACACTTAGAATCACAAGTTTTAACTCAACCCCCCACCCCACCTCTCAAACCCTCATTCAGTGCAATGTAGCTTATCCGATTCTTAACTTTTTCACTGTATTACACAAACATGCTCAGGGTTTTGTAAGATATATCCATGCTGGCCCTTTGCCTAACTCTTGCTAAGCACAGAGGAAAGGCAGGTTGTGAAAGCTCAGGGTTAGAATATCTTGTGAGAAAATAGATTAAGAGGGTACCTTTACCTTCCAATTAATTCTTTCAAAGTTAGCATCACTCAGCTCATCAACATGACAGACAAACCACAAATCCAAATATTTTTGTACCATTCAAGTGCAGCAAAAGTTTTTGCTGTTGAGCTATGTCTAATGAAGGATTTAGATGGAAAAGTGTACAGTACAGCTGCCTTGCTATTTTTAATGTTATAATTCTGAATAAAATAATCTTATACAAAAAAATTTGGATCTAATTTCCCTGGAGACCTCAGAACAGATATGAACATCAGACCCAGAGGCATACCTTCTATACTTTCTTTATTAGCATACTGTGAAACTACCTGTCAAGAAAAACTCAAAATTTTGCTATGAAAGCATTTTGACACTCCAGTTAGGCAATAAAAAGGACTTTTTTCCCCAAAGCGGAGGCTCTGCTTATTCAGAGCACAACTACCATTCCACATGATTTCCCACTACAGTTTAGAGATTACGTATTGGGAATTGTTTTCTTAGCTAATGCTTTATACGGAGCTGTAAAATATGTCTGTATGCTCTGAACACTACTTTGTAGTCTTTGCCTTTTTTCTGTTATCAAAAATAAGGATCATTTCATTTGGGAAATCAGATTGTAGTTTTATTTCAAAAACTCTTCTTTTGTTTTTCTTTTTAAAATATGTTTACAATAATATTTTTGTAAAGTTACATATCAAAGAAAAGCTGAAGGGAAATACTTCAATCTGTCTCTCTGAAGACAAATTTTTAATGTTTAACGAGGCAGTTCAATAAAACATGTCTGTTGAGAATGCAAATGTGTATGCATAACTTTCCATAGTTTGGTGCACTGTTGAAATCTCAAATGGATCAATATTGAACAAAAAGTAAAAGAAGTGAAAAAAAGGTGAAGTTTAATGAACACAGAGGGATTTCCTGCTTAACTAAGTTAGTTCTTAAAATTGTCTTAAAACGCTAAGTCAACACAACATGTTTTAGTTTCATTCTACATTTAAAAACAGTGATTTCACCAGGAAATCGACACTTTGAGTCCAGTGACTATATTACTGATCCAAGTCCTCACTGTAGAAAATCTCAATAATTTTTGTCCACTATCTTCATTAGAAGATAAAAATCATACAACATAGGAAGATAAATACGCATTTCTCATACAGATCATATTTATGAACACCATGAATATTGTCTTCGAGATTACCTGAAATGATGACTACCTCACACTATAATACCCTGGGAAGAAGTTCAGAAACGTCCAGGGTGTCTATTAATTTCCTAAGTAAAATTTATTGGGACTACTCACATACTTATGCATGACCTCAACACTACAAAATTTAATATGCAATATTTCACTCATTTTGAAGCTATCTGGAAACGAGCAGATATGGAAGGCTTTTACTGATGGAAAAATGTTTTTATTTCCTTTTGCATTTAGATAAAGATGACTCTTTCATAGACTTTAAAACAGAGCACAGTTATAGCTCCCAGTGAGACTGAGTTTTTTACACTGCAGAAGAAATAATTTCCGATATAAAACTTGGTTCTTGAGTCAACTTTTAGGAAAAAGGTTCAATAAAGGCAAAGAATACCTGTTTTCTTTCAGCTGTTTCAGCATAGCACATAAAGCATAAATAATATATTCATTTTGTGCCACGGTGACCACTGTGATGTAATATTTGGCAAATAATTTAACAAAACTTACCTGTACTTTCTTGTCAGTGATCTAAAAAAAAGCCATAAACGTCCTACAACTTTTACAAGTAGATCAAGAAAGGTTCAACTTATGGAAAAAATACCAGCAAACCTCTTGACGAGACACATGGAAACCTGCTGCTGAAATTAAACAGCCTAATGGAGATCAAAAATATCACCTGCCACTCCACATGAGGAGAGTTACAGAGACAGTAACACTGAAAGTTCTTTAAATGACCATGTAAAAAAGTGGTAGAGATTTTTAAAGTAGTGAAGCATCCTTAGGAACTCGTAAAATAACAACGAGAATTTCAGTTATATAAAGACTCCACAGCTAAATGTCAAAAAACATGCTAATTACAGAACTAATAAAAGTGACATAGATATCTCCATTATTTGGCAGAAAAAACGTATCCTGTGGAAGCAGTAATAGAATTAGTCTTCCTGAGACTGTAGACAATAAAATGCTTTCAGTATGCAACAAACACAAACAAATCAATAAGGGAAAAAGAAAATAACGATCATAAATTTGTAATGAAAATATAATGTATGTCTACAGTAGATTGCCTGTATGGTGGGATATGAAAATTCAGTTTTATTCACACAATAGGAAAGCTTTGTGGAATAGCTATTTTAATGATTTACCTCAGGTACAACCAGTGAAATATTTCATTCATAAAACATATGCATTAATGCTTTATTTTATCACTAAAACTTCCTTGGTTTACCATAGTCCACTCTGTTTCATAACTCAAAATGCCATCCCAGACTAAGTATTGAATTGTTCTCTGGAAAACAGTAACTTGTATAATGTAGTTGTACAGTAATACCAAGATTCAGACTGCTACAGAATTATGACCAACATCGATGTAAGAATACTACATTTCAAGAGCATGAAGAAAAAAAAGTTTTATAAATAGAATGAACAAATAAAAAATAATTATATTGGCTGTTTTTTACTTTGAGGATAACATTGATTTCCCTTTCACTGTCTTTCCTCCTATGCAGAAAATAAAAGGCTTCCACAGGGAAAGGAAACAATCAGTTAATTAGAACAGCCTCCATTAAAACCAAAAGAAACTGAAGAAAAAGGAAGACAGAGTTATGCATTTTCAGAGACAGTTGACAAAGGAAACAAATTTCACATCAAGACAGTCTGTGGTGTGATGAGAGACAACTGAGATAAGAGTTTAGATGTTACTGACATGAACTGCAACTCTAACAGTAAAGCTTTATGCCACAGTGAGTTATCAAAGACAATTGAAGAGGTTTCATACAGGCGCACAATATTCTTACTGGGAGCTTTATCCCCTCACTGTAGTACTTCCGACAAAGATGCATTGCTTAAATAGTCCTGGTGTTACGACATTACTCACAGAAATATTGCCCTCTGTACTGCCATAAATTTCTTGTGGGAATGACATTTGCAATAGTCTGCTTAGATGGTTAAAATAGGAAATTCTGCATTAAAACCAGGTCCTGTTGTATGCAGTAGCATCACCGGGTAGGTGGAATGGAGACCTGCATGTTTATAGCTCTGAGAAGTAACAGATGATATCAAGGAAACCAGTATTTGAGAGGAAGCTATGGTTTCAGAGAAAAAATAAGCAATTTGCAAAATTATTTTAAGGAATGAAAATATATTTAATCTATAATTTGAAAATCTTTATTAGCTAGATACTGACCAAACAAGAATGGCAAATAAAGATTATTCTGGTAGAGACCCAGAAGAGGCTATTAGAAATTATATTAATAAATAATGATAATAAAATGTGTGAGGAGGGGGAAACAGAAATTACACACAAAGATGAGGTAGCAATTCCCAGTTAGAGGGAAACAGACTGTGGAAAGAAGAATATTCATTAAAGGTAAGTTGAATGGTAATATGAGAACAATGACCTATGAAAGACGAGAGAAGGAAATAAAAGGAGACCAAAGAAAGATGTTTCTCCCTTCACGTAAGTCTTGTTGCAAGAGAAACTCCAGGAAAAAAAGGCTTAGAGTTCTCCATGGCCTGGAAGAGACATCTGAAAGAGTATCCTGTGGGAGGACTTGGAAGAGAGGAGAGGACTGGAAAGGGAGACAGATACTACAAGAACTACCAAGAACAAAGTATTAGAACAAGACAATTATGATGCAGACAGATTATTTTTCAGAATATCACATATGCAGGACATTTTGAAGAAGGAAATCAAGGTACATGTCAGTGTCACGGCAGTGGAAGTGGCAGTGAAAGAATGAAGAGGCAGTAATAAAGTCAGGGGAAAGGAAAGAGAATGAGGAAATTTTTTATATCCTTTTAAAACATGATATCGGATAAGCTTGAGAGTCCATTTAATACAATCTGGCTTTGCATGGTAGATAGGAAAGAATACTTATTCTCCATTTTACACAAGATTAATACCACTTAGTTCAGATGAAGATCCACTGGTGTAAAAATCAGTCTCTGCATCCAAACTGTCGCAGCTCTGAACTCCATGGTTCAGATGTAATATTTAATATATTTCAGTCTTTCTGGGACTGTTATGATTACTACATGTTTGCAAATATTTCGTTTGTCACATTTCATTTGCATATGCAAGAAAAGAATTGTAAGTGTATTTGGAATGCATAACTGTAATGGAAATTGTGGTTTTGGCCTGTTTTGTCTCTTTCCATGAACTGTTTCTTTGCATACTGCGAAACTGTGTGCAGTTCAAACAGTATGCAGACTTCCACAAACAGACTAAACTTCCCTTATTAGGCGACCACGTATGTCTGAACTCAGCATAATACTGTCAGATGGTATCATAGAAGATGAATTGAACGCAGATTCCCAGTTTAAAATGAATTTCACCTATCTACACTAGGAAAGTTGTACAAGGTACCCTCCCATCCAAAATAATTATATTAACAAAATATTATATCTGACTTTCAAGTATGGAACAAATCACTTCTGTTGTTTTCTGGTCTATTCATATAAGTTATCATTACCATTCAAAGTGATCAAAAGATGAAAAACCATGAAGATTCAATCAGAATAGTAATTTGTTCTTATATGTATGATCAATATTGTTATAAGAGTTGAGCAACTACATGTATTTTAATATTTTTCCCTTTTAATTTTTCAAGTTCTACTCTGCAGAAGTTAAAGTGTATCACCTGCTTAGTAGATAAACAGCAAGGAAAGAAGAATACATTATTTATTTTTCAGTTGGGAAAGTTAGACGTATTTTAGACTTGAAGGTTTTTTCTTAGATGGGATGTGTAGGGATTCGAGGGGAAAGGGAAAAGTGTGTGTTCATGAGGTAACTGTGTATTGTTCATTCAGTAATAAAAGACAGTATCATGTTTCACAAAGGCCAGTCATGATAGTTAAGCTTTCTTAAAAAAATACGTAGCACAAAAGTCGTATTTTCATCTGTCTATCCTAGACATGTAGCTGTGATGTTGTGATATTAGAGGAAAGTTATAAGCTAATTTGAACACCAGACAAGCAGTAAATAAAGAAAACTGATAGTATAATGTAGCACCTCAAAGAATAAGAGTATCTGAACGACATTTTTAATAGGGAAAACCAAAGATCAGTAATTTTTGAACTTCAGTTCACTTTATAAGAAACTTAATAAAGGTAAATAAACATATGAGACTATGGTCTAAAACACTCTAGAAAACTACCATTCCTCTGTATTTCTTTAATTCTGTGAACTGCATAGACTACTCATGTAGACATAAGAGAATGCTATGAAGTGTGTAGTTGAATTAAGATATATGAATGCGTCTTGTTTCTAGATGGCAAAGTACCATTTGCCCAGGAACAACTGTTAAAGCATTCAAGAGTAAGAGTGACTCTCCTCTACAGTCAGAGTGTGTGTGTGTGTGTGCGCGCGTACTGTTTTCTTAATACCAATGCCTCGATTTAATGCCTTCTTATCATCTTTTCTCAACTGTAATATCCTTGCATACAATCAATGATACAATAACGTGTCATAACTTTGTCAAACAGCACGTGGCATTTTCATTTGTTAAAAGATTGTTGAATAGAACGATTTGTTTTCCTTACCCATTTCAGACATCTCTGGCACAGTAACAATGTATGGTCCATCTGTAAATTTTGGTGCATTGTCGTTGATATCCTGCACTTTGATAATAAATTCAGATTCAGGCTCGAGTGGCTTGTTTGTCCGTCTATCAATAGCTTGGGCATGAAGCACATAGTGCGTCTTCTGCTCTCGATCTAGGCTTTTGGTTGAGTGGATGTCTCCAGTCGTGTCATCAATAATAAATATAGTCCCCGCCCCTTCTCCAGTAAGAATATATTTGACTGATCCATCACCTTTGTCGGAATTGGAGTGCAGCTGTAGAATATATACACATAAAATCATATAAAATGACATATTAAATTTCATGAAAGGTTATTGCACATAAGATATAAAAATTATAATATTACAGTTAGCACTGTTCTACTTAGTTTTAAACCTTCCCACCTCTTGTCATAATTCCTCACGTGCTATACCTGGTAAGTCAATCATTTTGTTCAGGGTCATTTCCACCCCAGCATAGTTTATTTTTTAAGCTGGGATTTCTTTTGTACTATGTCCATTCTAGAAAACTTCCCAAAGTCAAGAATATTCTAGCAACTGGGGTGTTTTTTGTTTTATTTTGGTTTGGTTTTAGTCTTTTTAGTTGTTATCTTACAGTACTCATTGCTAGAAGCTCTGCCTTAAGCATGAAGCTCGAAGCAGTCACACTGAGGATTAAGTTTGCTTCAATGATTGCAGTTCAGTTCCACCACCTATGTTATTGTTTGTGGCCCCAAGGACAGCATCATTTACTGCAAATAAAACTGCATAGTGTGACAGCAAAGATGTCTGTCCAGGAACATTCTATACCTCAACAAAACACAACCATTTTCTCTGGTTTTTGTTTGTTTGGTTTTAGTTAGGAAGTCACCAAACCTAAATTTGCTTGCATTTAAATTATTTATAATGACGTAATGAACTTCGACTGATACTTCCAGCATTTTTATTGTTCCTAACACACACTTTGTATTAGAAAATATATGTTAAGTATATTATACCCCTCCTTGGGCAGAATAAAGTCTATAATTTATCAGAGAGGAAAAAAAAATAAAAAGAAAAGTCACTAAGTACTCTGGTATGTTAAGAGATAACATGAAACAGCTACTCATTGGGTTTCAGTGCTTCTATCTTGATTTTAAAGAATTGCCTCTTTAGAATAAAAATGAACATGTGTTCTCTGAGAAGAAGGGGTGATTTTTTGATAGATTGAGAAGCTTTGTGGTTTTTCTCTTTAAAATGAGTTTGAGAACAGAAAGTATTTATCGTGGTGCACAATGAGAATAAAGTGATAATGCAAAAATTAACAGTCTTAGGTATTGTTCAGTCATATTGTGATGTTAAATCAGAAGGGAAACTTTTTAATTTTAAGAATTCAGTCATTTTTATTCTTATCCCACTGCCCTGACTATCTCTCAATATCTACAGTGTGGCATTACTCAGTTTCTGTACAGAATCTGAGCAAAGTAGAAGCAGAATGTCAGATATTATTTTTAATTAATGGAACACTAGGTGTCAGTTTCCAGACTTTCCATTCTCAATTCAGAAGCCATTTAGGGTTGGATAGAGAGAAAATAGGACTTTTGGAGGTTCAAATTGTCTCTTTTCTGACTTAAACCATAAGTTACAGAGGTACTGCTATTTTCTCACTCTCTCCTCATACTTTTTTTGACAGGTCTTTTTCTTGCCCTTAAAATTATCGAGCTTGCTATTTGTAAAAGGAGTAAGCATATGGGGCTTGATGACATTTTTCATCTCTTGTATTAAATCTATGAAATCACGGTGTCAGACATAATATACCTTGTCCTGTAGGGGATTTGGGAGGGGGAAGTCTGGTAAAATTAAGATTGTCAGCTCATATAAACTTCAACTTAACTTCATTCAAGGCACCATATACTTATCTGAGCCACAAGAAGATCTGACTGAATAACCAGAACAAACTGGGTCATAACTGTGGACCCATTATTTTGAAAACAGAAGAAGCAAAGAAACAGAGAAAGAGTTTGTTTTCTTGGCTTTGTCTTTATAGCACAGCAGGATAGTTTTTCACCTTTCCTTTAGAGTAGTAACAGGCAAAATTCTGCTTACATCTCTTCTTATCCTCAGAGTAATATTGTATTCTATTAACAAAGGAATATTTGATCAATGTAAAATTACAGAGATCTAAACTTCCTATGAAGTCAAAATGTTCTCTGAAGTGTTTTACTCCTAAAATCAAGAATAGTAGGTATTCTGGTATTCTAACCCTGGGTTGCTGGTATTCTAATTTTTCAGAAACAATATTAGAATTGTTTTTCTCTTGCTGCAGGTTCCTTTTTTGATAAAATGATTCCTAAGTGTTAGTGTTTGCAAATGTTAACATTTGCCTCAGAAAGATTATCTGTAATTTATGGGGGAAAAAAAAACAACAACAAAGAAACCCAGGAAAAAAAATGTATGCCTGGGAAAATGACATATTTGCTGAGTTTATGAAGCTATAAAGAACTCAGGTTAAAACTATCCCAAACAGAAAAAGATCAGTAGAATCTCCATCCTCATTCTCTACTTTCAACTTTGCGTGCGTATATGTAGAAGCATATTCAGGTATACCATACAGACATCTCAGTAAAAATCAGTGTATTCATAACTGGAATTACGAAATTATGAACCAATTAAGAAATTGATTACATAGGTAAGAAATCAACTGATTAAAGAACTGATGTAGAACTTAAGAAATAAGCTTTCTTCAAAAAAAACCAAACATCAATGTAGACATGGCATTCCAATACCATACTGCAGAAAGGCACATTCAGAAATTCACTGTCATAGCATGAAGCATATGGAACATTTGGAAAAATTCATAACATGAGATATTTTTTGTTGTGAAGAAACAACTATTTGTACTTGTCATCAGTGAAGAAAATCCAGGTACATTTTGAGACAGAGGGCTTTTACATCTAACAAGTAATAAAAGCTAAGAAACACAAAAGATTCTCAGCTAATTGCATGGCCAACCAATTATACGCTATTCCTGATAAACATCATGTTACCCAACAAACTTCAGTTGAAAAATGCAGGCAGAAATGTCGTTAGAAAAAAAGTATTTGGGTGTTTAATAAACACTGAGAGCCTTCAATATGCAACTGAGTCTTTTACACTGCAGTTGCGAGGCAACAACTGAAAACAAGAGAAAGTTAAGAGAAGTTCCTGCTTCCCTGCTTTATGATATTTCTTATATTGTTTTAAATATAACACTTTGATTTATGCCTTTTAATTTCTAATGCTGAATTTTGAATTCACACAGTAGGACTTTGCATAGCACTTCCACTGTATAACAAAAGGGCCTTTCCTTTTGATTTATATTTCAGTTTTTCTGTAAATAACTGTTTATCTTCTTTAATACTTTGACCCCAGTACAAATTGGCCCAAGTAGAAAAATATCAATGCTTCTCTTAAAAACTTATTTGTAATACTTGTTGTGCTGAAGAGAGCCCCTGGGAACCCCCGCATAAGATAATGCCTACCAGATTAATAAGAGATGCATGTCCCTGAGCATGGCACAATTCTTTATTTTCCCTCTGTACTATGAAATTATCTCCACAACAGTTGGTTTATTCCACAAAAGCATTTCTAATTAGAGTAAATGCAATTCACTGCTTAGGTTACAAAAACATGATTTGAGAGACCGTATTTCTGCAGCTATGTCTATAATGACTTACAAAACACAGCAAGGGAGCAAAATCTAGGTGGACAACAGTGGACTCTCTCTCTACTTGGGACTGCTGCAACTATTTATCTTTCAGATTAATTTGACGGGGGGGGGATGTTGCTAAGCAACACAGACTCAAGCCAACACATGTTCTGTTCACCAGTTCAGACCTAACTTGTGTGACCTGGGAAAGTCATCTCAACCCAGATTCCTAGAAACAGTGTGGACATTTAACTTAAATGAGATGGCATCACCTCTGCCAATGACTACTGCAAGAACATGTACACACTAGAGGATGAGATATTCACATGCTGTAGTAATGTGAATAAATAGCTTAGACAATCACAAAATGTGGTATTATTTTTTCCCCTACTGTGACAGTCAGAGACAGAAAGTTAGAACATTGCAGGAGTCTCAATTTAAAAAGAAATACAAACACATTGCAAACTGAAACACAATTACTCATAATGTTGAGATAAGCAACAAGAAATGAAAGGAAATACAAAGGAAATATGCCAAACGTTAAAAGACAGCTCTCTGATTTCCGTATCGGAGGTTTTAACTAGGACCGTGAAAACAGCACTGAAAATGCCTTTCAGCAGGTCTTAATTTCTGTGATAGTCCACCTCATCTGATACAACTCATCAATATAGTTATATATTGATCTGTGTTAACTTTTAAACTGCTACTGAAATAAGCTTTTTTTTTCTGCTACTTAAATTTTTTCAATTTGCTTCCCTAAGGGATCTCACCTTAGACTCCAGACTCTATTTTAAAAATGACTTTGCAGACCAATAGTTTGCCTAGTTAAACACTAGAGACTAACACAGCTTGCACTCAAACCTTAGCCCTCCTTAGACCTCCCTGCACACAGTCCAGGATCCCCTTGCAGCTCCTTGGGGCTGCCAGCCCCTGCCCAAACCATCTTAGAATCATAGAATAATAGAATCATTTAGGTTGGAAAAGACCTTTATGATCATCAAGTCCAACGTTAACCTAACACTACCAAGTCCACTACTAAACATTGTCCCTAAGCACCGCACCTACATCTACAAATACCTCCAGGGATGGTGACTCAACTACGTCTCTGGGCAACCTGGTCCAATGCTTGACAAACCTTTTGGTGAAGAAATGTTTCCTAATATCCAATCTGAACCTCCCTGAGACACAGCTTGAGGCCATTTCCTCTCGTCCTATCACTTGCTACTTGGGAGAAGAGATCAACACCCACCTCATTACAACCTCCTTTCAGGTAGCTGTAGAGAGCGGTAAGGTCTCCCCTCAGCTTCCTTTTCTCCAGGCTAAACAACCCCAGTTCCCTCAGCTGCTCCTCATAGGACTTGTGCTCTAGACTCTTCACCAGCTTCGTTGACTCTGTCAACCAGGCTCCTAAACAGACCAAATCCTGCTCTCCAGAAGTCCACGGTAGTACTTTTTCTAACCCTCCTCCTTACTTCTCCAAGAATCAAAAACTCTATAATTTTGTGATCATTATGGCCAAGACAGCTTGCAACCATCACATCACCCACAAGTCCTTCTCTGTTCGCAAACAACAGGTTCAGTGAGGCCTGTTCCCTAGTTGGCTCACTCACCAGCTGTGTCAGGAAGTTATCTTCCACACACTCTAAGAACCTCTTGGACTGCTTCCTCTCTGCCGTATTGTATTTCCAGCAGACATCTGGTAAGTTGAAGTCCACCATGAGAACAAGGGCTAGTGATTCTAAGACTTCTCTCAGATGCTTGTAAAATATTTCATCTGCTTCTTCATCCTGGTTGGGTGGTCTATAACAGACTCCCACCATGATATCTGCCTTGACCTTCCCCCTGATTCTTATCCACAAAACATTGAACCCTATCACTACCGTCATTAAGCAATAGAAAACGAGAACACTCCTTAACACACAGAGCTACCCCATTGCCTCTCCTTCCTTGCGTATCTCTTCTGAAGAGTTACAGCCATCCATTACAGCACTCCAGTTGAGTGACTCATCCCACCATGTTTCCGTGATGGAAGCCGTATCATAGTTTTCCCGCTGCATGATGGCTTCCAACTCTTGTTTGTTGCCCATGCTGCATGCATTGGTGTAGATGCACTTCAGTTGGGCTATTGATCCTCCCATCCTTTTGGGAGGAATAGCTCTAGCTCCTACGTGACCATTGTCAGACACTTCCATGGTTTCTAACATATCAATAACCCTTGCTATTTACTGTAGCATGGATCTCCATCTCCTACCTCTTCTGTGCTAGGTCTTCACTAGCACACTGTTCCTCGAACATTGGCATGCCGTCTCTAGGCTTATCTCTAGTGAGCCTGGTTTTATCCCTTTTCCCCTTCAAATCTAGTTTAAAGCTCTTTCAAAGAGCCCTGCTAACTCTTGTGCAAAGATCCTTTTCCCCCTTCGAGACAGGTGTACCCCATCTGTTGCCAGCAGGCCTGGTGTTGTGTAGACTGACCCATGATTAAAACCCCAAAATTCTGCCAGTAACACCAGGCTCAGAGCCAGGTATTGGCTGACCCATGATTAAAACCCCAAAATTCTGACAGTAACACCAGGCTCAGAGCCAGGTATTGGCCTGCTGGGTCTTCCTTTTTCTTCCCTCATCATTCCTGTCACTGAAAGGATAGAGGATAACACTGCTTGTGCTACTGATCCCTTAACCAGTTGTCCCAAGGCCCTGAACTCTCTCTTGCTTGACATTGGAATTCTTGTTGCAACGTCATTGCTGCCTACCTGAAAAATAAACAAAGAATAGTAATCTGAGGACCATATCAGGATGGAAAGTTTTCTCTTCACATCTTCAACCCAGGTTTCAGGGAGGCAGCAGACTTCCCTAAGAAGTGGGTTTAGTCTGTGTTTGGGCCTTCTGTTCCCCACAGGAGAGAGTTTTCAACAACAGCCCATCTCTTTTTCTTTATGGAAGCAGTTTTGATGCAAAGTGTAGATCGACTTAACCTCAGCAACACCTTCAAGCTGAGATGAACCATCACCTCCTCCTTGTTCAGTTCCACTTGCAGGACCCTCATACCTATTACGCAAGGGCATCTGAGATGGTGGGGTAGTCTCAGATGAGATGAACCTGTTGTGCCGGGCAGAAACTTGTCACCATTACCCCCTGAGTCACCGTGTTCAGCCAGGTGTAGAGAGGATAGGGAATCCTACGTCAGGCATCCTGTCTGCCTGTTCCAGCAAAGGCAAGGTGTGGTTCCAGTAGTCTATCTGTCTCTTGAACTCTCTGATACTCTTCAATGAACTCACCTCCTCCTGGAGCTCTGTCATAAGGGCTGGCATCCAGCTTTCCACAGCCCTGCACTGCCTGGCCATGGACCCCACTAAACTGGTCCCGCCTGCTAGCCCATGTCCAGGCCTGGCTTCGGCCCATCCCTGACCCCAGGGAGGTGTCCAATGCCAGAACTGCCCCAGTGGCCCCCGGCTGTCCTGCTCCTGGCTGATCATGCCATGACCCATCTGGGGGACCTCACGTGCTTCAAGCCCAGGGAGCTGCCCCACTTTGCTGATTCCTGACAGCTCCTAATCCAGTCACCCAACTCCCAGCCAATACAGGCTTCTGAATTCCTTGTAGAAAGGCAGTTTCTATCCTAAGTGATGGGCTGGCTTCTGAAAACATTACTTATCACTGTCCATTTGGTTACGCTGTTAACAAGGACAGATTTATTAAATATTCTGAGTCTGTCCATGACCAGAAGCGACCAGCATTTAATTTTCATCACCTGTTGGGCAGTATTCTTGGGTTTATTTCTCTGAATTTTTAGGGAAAGGAAAAACTGAAAATAAAACCTGAAGAGCATATCTGGAATGTCACTTTTATCAATCCAGTGGGCTCCATTTCTTGACATATTTAATGACAGATTGGATTCAGGATGATTTATGACTGTTCCTCAGTCTTTAACTAGCCTATATCAGCAGTGTATGACTGATTTAGCAGAAGAGCAAGCAAGGTGTCTTTTTTTTTGCTAAGACATTTTTCTTTCATCAGTCCATTTAAACACTTAACTCTCTTTTAGTATTCCTGCACATATTGCAGAAGGGCTAAATTTTCCAAAGGCAGGACTTGAAGAGGTATACCAAACTTTTCAGTTAATGAGCAATATATTCTTATATTAATTTTGATACTACAAGTCTTTAAATACATATAATTTGATGCACCAGCATATTAGCTGCTATAAAATGAATACTCACAACGTCGGCTTATTGCCCAGCTAATACAGTATTGTTACTGATAGTAACTACAAAGCAATCAGATGGCTAATGTCTATTTGTAAAACCAAATGATCAGGAGGCTACTGCTTAGCTACTGACGTTATTCATTACTTTCCATCTTCATACGTCTTTTACTTAATTGTTTTACCTAATGTTTAGCCACATCATATTTCCAAATATCTAAGCATACATACTTGTCAAAAGTCAAGCAAATAACCAGAAATAGGGATAAACTACTGGACAGTATAGAAGCAGGTTCCAACGGAAAAGCAGTACACCAATAAGTACTATAAAATCAATCAAAAATTTGAGGAGGAAAAAAAAAACCTCTGCTCCTGCTGCGAATCTGGGACACTAACAACTCACAGTGATCACCATGCTTCCCTGTGCTTGCCTAAGGAGGAGAAGCAACAGCCAGGAAACCGTGCATGACCAGAAGAACGAGAAAGAAGTCTGGATAAGAGGGGCAGTTATAAAGTAGAAGAGGTGTCTATTAGTGATTTAATTGTACGACTGCTTCCTCTCATTTGCTTTAATTGAACAATTTGGATTCTTGGTGTGTTGTGTGGGTGGCATTTTAAGTTGACTAGTAATGACTTTTACAATGTTTTAATTGGACTACCAATAAATTCTTGGATCTGGGTATAAGATATATGCTGTTCTGTTGAAAATAAAATTTTATGAAAAGATTCCCATACTTGTGCTAAATTAAAATCTGAAGCTGATTTGAAAAAAATCAAGAGCTGTTGCACTAACCTTATGAGTTTAATCAGAGTATAAATGGTTATGTACACACAAAATCAAATTATTTTGAAATAACTGCATAGAATTAACTTAAAGCTTATTGCTGACAAATAATAAACAATAAAAATAATATGCACAGAATTCCAAAAGTAAAACTTGAGTTCTGGTAGTGACGCTACTACTGTATCTTTTGAATAAAGTATTGTCTTCTCTTTGGAGAGCTGCATGTTTTTTCAAGGAGAGCAGCAGAATCTCCCCTTCTCAATTCTGTCGTTATTGCCGATCAGTTTAAGCAGACAAGAGGGCTCCAGCACACTACTACAGCATGTAGTCTGTGTCTAAGACTACTAAGTCTACCAGTGCATGCTCAACCTAGAGGAATGACAAAATTATTCCCAAACAACATGAGCTATGAGCTTTAGCAAAGCATAGGAGAATATATTAAAAAAGAATGTACACGTTACTTTACTTCTTTTATGCAGAATTATTTAATGCTTCACTAAAAAGATCAAAATGTAAATACATATAAAGAATTAATAGTACAACACTAAAACAATGAGTACAAAATATTTTATTTTTCTTTCTAATAAGAACTGCTATCGTGTTGATTTCCTTTGATGTTTATGTAGACACAAGATGTAACTTAAAAGAAACAATACAGTAACATAATAGTAGTAAAAAATACATATAAAATTATTCTGAATGGTGCATGCTGCAAAATCAGAGTCTAGCTGATACTACAGAAATGTGCATTGTGCCTATGCAGTAAAATCATCCTCAGATTTGCTGCAGACTCACTTCCCTTGGTCTGAGCTATAAAATATGTTTTAATGAAATATACTGCTCTGGGCAATGTCACACCTTTTGATGGAATTCTCAGAGGGAATCATTAGCCCAGGAGATAACTGTGTTATCCATAGCAGTGTCCACAAACGGAGAAGAAGCTATTCCACACCCTTGTCAAACAGAGAAAGAAAATACAGAATTGCAATTTCCTCCATCTGCTGAATGGGTTTTCTGAGATAGAAAAAAATAATTGGGTTGCAATCATCCAGGAAAAACACAACTGAAACAGTATTAACTTCACAGTATAACACTACGACATATAAACATCTGTTCTTGCAAGATGTTCTTATCTGAAGTTTGCTCCTTTGCTGCTGCTTTTAGGGAGCTGGGTAACAGCAGATTTATGCAAGTGCATAAGCAATTACATCTGAAATAACATCAGGTGTACTGATGTGGTCAACAGTAGCTTTTATTATCTCTCTGTACAAAAGGAGAACTCCAGTGAATGGCAAGATAAATAGAAAATAGAATTCTAAACCAACACAATAAACATTTATGTATAAAAATATTCTGTTTTCGAAGAACACTATATACTTTTAAGAAAAATAGAATCAACAATTGTACTTTTACTGTACTATACGTCTAAATCAATATAGAAGAAAACTACTTCCATTCTGCTAAAGTTTTCATCTGAACTCTCTTCACAGCAGTAAGCTTTCATTTCAGATGTCTTTTACTTGGGCAAATGCTATGACAGGCATAAAAACTATTATTTTTTCAAGAAAGTAGGATTAACACAGCATATGTGTTTTACAGGTTCTAAAGAGCTGGACAGTCATCCTGTTGCTGAACATGCTAACCAAAGTCTTCTAAAAGTATAATTATGTAAATATACTTGTTTGCAGGTCCCAGGGCTAAATGACTACAGCTCATTGAACCATTGCTCTAAAACATGCCTGAAATTGAGTGGTTCTTTTTGTTTGGGTCTTATTTCCTAATATCCAATCTGAATCTACCTCCCTCTATTTTAAAACCATTACCTCTTGTCCTATCACAACAGGCCCTCCTGAACAGCCTCTCCCCATCTTTCTTGTAGGCCCCCTTGAGGTACTGGAAGA